AGAGCCATGCCAGCTTTCCAAAGGGAGAGAACAAATAGCAGGGAGAAAAAAGACATTTTACACATTAGGGAAAAAACGATGCCGTCCTTAAAGCAAACGCTGCCCAGCAAAAGACCCGGGGCTGCATCGCCTTCATGGCGCCGCTGCGATGCAGAACACAGTACAGCAACGTGAGGACCAGGACAGCAGGGCCTGCGCTGCAGCAGCCAATTCCCAGGGCTGCTGCAGCCAATTCCCAGGGCTGCAGCAGAGATCTACGTGCTGGGGCTGTGCAAACTGCTCCTGCAGGCCTCTGGCACTGGGAATCCACCAGTGCCTGCAGGCAAGGCAGAGCGGTGGCCACGGGCAGCATCTTCACAGCCACCTCACCCGCAGGAGGAGGACAAGATCCACACAGGAGTAAATGCTTGAACCTCCCCCAGGTTTCAGTAGAGGATTAAGAACCTAGACACCTTTACAGGCTCTAGCCTAAGCAACTCGCTGTGCATCATTCAGCGCCAACGGTGAAGGCAGAGCTTCCCTGCATCCCGCTCTCCAGGGATTCGGCAGTGCTGCACGCGCCAGCTGCTGCAGCCACCCTCCTGCAGCTCACGGAGGAGGCAGCAGGCGTGCTGCACACCAGTCACCATTCGAGACCGTGCCAGGAAAAAATAATAAAAAATAATTAAAAAAACACTTTCCAGGGCTCTCCCAAGGCAAGTTTCACAGCCTCCCCTTCCATGTGCTCATGTCTCTGCGTTCTTGCTGCACTTCCCGCACGAGCCATGCTGGCAGGGACGCCGCTCGGAGCCGGGAGCTTCGCCTGCCTCTCGCGGCAGAGAAGGGGGCAGGGGGAGACGCAGCCTTCGGCTGAATTCCCACCGGCTTTGTGCTATGGAAAGCGGGAGTTGGAGGCAGCCAGCCTTCACAGGGAACCTTTAACCCCTTCCTTAACGTCGGGAACAGCCATTTGCTTGTTCAGCGAGTCCTTTCTAGGAGGAAGAGAAGTGCTGCCTTCCTCTGTACTCGCACTGCTGGCTCCTTCTACCTGGCCTGCTGCTCCTGAGGCTTCCTGCAGCTTCCAGGAGAGAGAGGAAAATAAAGCTACAGTCCACCATGGCACATGCCCAGGAGTTGTTACTTTGAGAAATATCACCCCCGCTCTCATTCCAGGCCCTTTAGGTGATGAAGGTGCTGTCCGCACGCTGCCCAGAGGCTTTCAGGGACAGTGCTGAAGTCCCAACGCGGCTCCCCAAAGGCTATTGGAGCCATGGGAGCCACTGCGCTACGCCAGGTCAAGGACGTGATCATCAACCTTGAAAATCCAGAGCAGGTGCCAAAAGAGCACCGTGAAAGGACAGTGCACAGAGTTCCTCCCCCCGCTGTTTTCAGAAAAGCGGGTGGTCCCTGTCAGGGGGGACAGTCAATCAGCCCCCCTCTCCCTGCCCCGCTGTAACCCCACGCACCAGAGGAGCTTTGAAAGCCCTTGCTGAGCTGCAGGGGGAAATAAGGCCCTTGGTGGCTTTACAGATTAGGGCACTCTGGAGAGCTCGGGACAGCCTGGGGCTTAAAGTGCCCTTTTCAGCTCATCCTGCACATAGGTTCACTGGAGGCTCCAGGTTTCGGACAGGAACAAAGGAAGGAAAGAACTGGAGATGGAGTGGCTTAAGTGATCTGCGGCCAAGTTACTTCACCTCCAGCAGACCAGCAAGAACCCATGTGAAACCCAGCTACACCAGCCATCCCAGGGCCAGGAACCATGGCCACGGCAGACGCACAACTTGCGCGGTCACTCCAGGGCTCTCCTGGGAACAACAGTGGCACAGACTGCTGTCAAGCGGGAGGTTACAGCTCCAAGCAGAGGCCATGCTCCCTTCAAAAGCTCAGCTCCACATCGCCACCTCCTTCAAAGCAGGGAGGGGAAATCCAGCATTCTCCTCGTTAACTTGCTGATTTAACCCCAACTGCTTGACTTCATATCTGGCTATCGAGGCAGCCAGCCTAGGCATGTCTGTTTTCTAAACCTAGTCCTGCATGAGGCAAACACCACCGCATGCAGATCAAGGTTTCGACTGACAGACATGCTGGAAAGCATCGTCAATGCTGATTCTTCAAGAGCAAGGCCACCAATATGTAAAAACCTTGGGGCAGGAGGGAGCACCACTGCTGTGGCCATCATGTCAGCCTTGTTTAGCCAGGTCATACTTTAGAAAGACCAATTCCACTCAACTTGTTCCTTGATGTGAAAAAAAAAAGATGAGTGTGGGAAAGCAAGACAACACAACATAAGCATTTGGTACAGGGGAGACACTTAGCTAATATGCAGGAAGGCACTGTAAGAGCAAAATGGTGTATTGTGTGTGTATATATATATATGTATATATATATATATAAAAATGTACATGCACCCTCAAGCCACAGCACAGCAGAAACAGAAGCTCTTAACACCCACCTCCAACCCCAGACTTTAACCAGTAAACCAGGCTTCCCCCCTTCACCTCTTGTTCCCCTTAGATCAAGCCAACGATGGGAAGATGCAGGGGTTTCCCTCCACAGCCTTTCAAGGGGTCTGGAGTAAAAATACAGCTGGCTTCATTCCCCATTAGCAGTTAATTTCCTCAATCGTTTTCACAGAGGGGGAAAGAGAAAAACAGTCACGATCCAAGAGACGAAAGCAACTGAAAATATGCCTCGTAAAACCTGCGCTGCCCTAAGGGAAAACTGCCCCGCAGCTTTCAGAGGGGAATTATCAAAGGCCCCAGTCTGGTGGGGGTTGTTTGTATTTTATAAGACAAATGCTTGAGAGAATATAAGTCCTCAAATAGCTGAGATTCCTTTCCCCGGACAAGACTAGAAAAAGAAACAGCTGATCCCAGTTAGTGCAGCCTGGCGATCCCGCTTGGCCACACGGACACGGAGGCAGAGCCATCCAGGCACCGCTCGGTCGAGCTCTTCTGCCCAGGCAGGTGCCGCTGCCCCAGGCAAAGGTAACCCCGTGCCAACACGGCGCAGGACAGCGGCGCAGCCCAGGTCACACTTGTCTGTTGTGGAGGGGCTGGGGGAGAAGGCACCGACTCCTTCAGACCGAGGACAGGAGCAGCAGTCCTGCGACTCGTGTTTTGCACAGGGGGTGGCTGGTCACGTCTCGCTTCAAGCCTGGGAGCGCAGCCACAGAACTCCTCACACCCCGCGCTCCCCTTCTCATTAGAAGAGGCTTAACATAAGCTCAAGAACTGTAAGGAGAAGGGGCAAGGACCAAAGCAGCAGCCATTCTGCTGCGCACAGTTAACCCTTGAGGTGACAGCAGCCTGGACACGCAGGTGGCACACAAGCTGCCGGCCACAACTCGTGCCCTCACTTTGCTTTGCGGCTCAGCCAGGTCCCCACGGCCGCTGCTTGGCCGGGGCTTCGCCTCAGGGCACGCCGAGACGCCTCGTGCCTCGCCGAGACGCCTCAGGGCGCGCCCTCGGGGGCTCATGCCGGCTGGCGCGCTCGACGCCTCATCACCACAGTGTGACGACCCACCAAAGCCCCTTCTCTTCAGTGCTGAAGCAGCCGTGGTTTTCTCCAAGGGACAAATTCCCTCTCCCCCACATGTGAGAGCACCTTTCTGAACCAAACTGCTGTGTATTTTAGTCCACCAAGCAAATGAAAACAAGCTACTCAAAAAAAAAAAGCCTCATCACCACAGTGATTCGAGGAGTGGATAGGCATAAGGCAGCAGAAAAACCATGAACAAAGAATAATTAAACCAAAATAAAAGGAACAAAGGACCTGAGACCTGAAGAGGAATTACTCACTTGGAGCAGCCACCGCCACATTTAAAACATCTCATCTTTCACAAGCCAAGCGGACAAATAGGGAATAAGGAAATCTAGCTCTAGGGCACATGAATATCGCCCCTGGCTGGCTCATCTTGTTACGCACAGGATAACGGGTAGTGCACTGCTCACATGCAGACACCGGCTCTGGAACATGGGCTGGGATTTCCCACCGCCTGGCAGCACAGCACTCTCTGGAGCACACGAAGGGAAGTGCAGAGCAAAGCCCCCAACTCTTGAAACCAGCAGCAAGAACAGAGCTGTTCAGCTGCTTAAAGGACTCTTAAATTAAAACCCACCCACCGCTCTGCTGTTCTTGATTATCTGCATCTTTGTTCACCCCATGCAGGGGAAACAGGGCGGGAGTTTTAAGTAGATAATTGGGTTTGCACTTGATTCTGGGCTGAAACTGGAACAGGAATTCTTGTTTTCTGAAGAAGAGAGGCCCAAGGGGTTGCTGTGCAATGAACCTGCTCTGTGGAGGCATGTGAGCTGCAGCATTTGCTCAAGATGTTCTGAGGTTTACAGCAAGAGCACAGCCTGTGTCTCCGAGCAGTGTCCCTCTCCAAAGGGCACCTGCTGCCAGGGCCAAGACCTGAGAATATGTTCCACCAGCTCTAGCCTCGTGCACAAATAAATAAATAAAGCTGCATTAAGATCCAAAGAAACTAGGTTTAGGCATAACAGCGAAGTGATCTAATTAACTCCAGAATCCTACGAAAGAAAAGCTTTGGAAGGAAACCAAGCATCTCAAAGGAGAGGTTAACTTGAAGATTACATTAACAAGTCAGGATCCTGCAGGTAACTAGTTCAAGATCTCAGCACATGGGGGAAGGAACCAGCCCATTCACCCACTCACATGAGGATGGGCATTGTTCCTCCTCCTGCCACATCTAGGTGGGAGAGAAGACGCACAGGCTGCAAATGGTTTCAGCAGTAAGCAAGCACAAGAACAAAGCTAGAGGAAAACCTCCCTTTTTCTTCCTGGCTCTCGTTCAGGCCATGCACAGAGATGCCTAGGGGAGAATCTGAAATAAAATCCGTCAACTGCATTTTCTTTCATCTTATGCATTTGAGATGGCTACAGAACAACTGTTCCTCCTGCAACCCCAGCGTGCTCGAGCAGACAGCGAAGCCATGGCAGCTCACGCACAAGGGCCCAGGCTTGGAGACCCTTCCCAGCCCCTAGCCCCACCTTCTCCACCTTGTGAGCACAGGCACACGTTTATTTGGCGGGTACCTGTTTAAAGGCCATTTCATCTGCTTTCTTATACCACCCCCTGAATATGAATCGGCCTTTCAAAACAAGATTGCTAGCGCAGAAGAGGAGGAAGAGGGTGACCCAGCTCATGGAGGACTTCCAGGGGCTCCTGCCTGGCTGGCAGTGGAGCTGGGACACAGTGCTTGGAGACCCAAGGACTCCTCCGTGGGGTCACACGCTTACGGCCCCAGCTGTTCCGGATGCCTCTGGAAGGCCAAGCCAGGGCATAGGAACCAGCTCCAGCACACACAGCTGCCCAGAGAGGCAAAACACCTCCTGGGGATCGGTCTGTGCTGTTTTCCAAGTCTTCCAATCAGCATTTTGCAATAGACAGGAACAATCAATGGATTCTCTGAAATCACCTAGCTGACCCCTCAGCGCAGGACTAACTGATACAACCTCTCAGCATGAGGGAAACACAGCTGGGACAAAGCACCAACCCAAGCCCCTCTAACAACTGGATACCAGACACCAACCGCCCACGGTCACAGCTCCAAAACCGGGGTGTCACGGGGATGTGGCCAGAGAAACAAAAAGGCTGGGAAACCAGCACAGCCTGGGAACCAGAGACTTCTGACCTTGGCAGCAGAGTCTGCTGAGAACAGGGCGGTTGAGTTGTACTTCTGGCTTTAATTACAGCCAAGCATTTGGCTTGTTCTCCTCCAACTGCCCCCCGTGTCCCTTGCAAGCGCAAATCTCGCTTTTTATAGCACATCCGGGATGGACGTTAAAGACACTCAGGAAATGCACTTTCAGCCCCAAACATCCCTTCTCCGAGACCCATGTGCTACATGGGTTGTAATGTGGAGATGAGAAAGCGGATGTTTGTTTTCGTGGCCACTGCTTTCCTGGATTACTTCTATCTGCTTAGGGAAAGGAAATTAAATAAACAGCGGCCAGGCTGGCTGCAGCTAGAAATGAAGCAAGCTGCTTGCGAGGTGAAGAAAGCAAAGCCACATGGAGAAGCCACTCGTAGCTGCGAGTCCCCTCGACTCAGCCAGGCTGCACTTTGCCAAGCAAAGCTCTTCCCAGGGACTGACAGCAGCTCACTGAGCAGTGAGGGCCCCTGGGAGCCTGAATCACATATTTCTTGATTCCTCACAGCAAAACCAATCCAGGCATCTCTTGTGATGTACAGAGGGAGACAAAGCACTCCATCGCTGCCAAACTTGTATTTTGGGTAACCTATGGGCACGAGGCACCATCGCTGCACAGGCGCTGCTCTAGCACATCATGCGAGGCTGCAGCCCCTCGGCAGCCGAGGCGCAGGCAGGGGCTTAGTGCTAGGTCTAGAACTAGATCTCCATGATTTTCGCAGAAGGGATTTGCCTTCCCAAACAGAAGCGCCCTTGTAAGCCCAAAGGCGAGTGTGTTCACAAGGGTCTCAACACCAGCCTTGTTACTGTGCTCAAGTGGGAGTTCCTGCACATGCTTGCAGGCCAGAGGACCCACTCCTGAGGCCAGGCTCCCTGCTAAACCTCCAAGGGCACTGGAGTGTCCCACACCCTGAGCAAGGACAGCTGTTGCACCCCCCTCACAGCAGAAGCAGGACTTGCTGCAGCAGGGGAGGGAACGGGAAGGCCCCCAGGCCTGCACTGCATCCGGTCTGTGCTCTGGACGAAGGCAAGATGTGCCAAGCTAGGAGCTGTCCTAGCCTCTTTGGCCAACTAAGTTGAAGCTAGAATGCCAATCCACTCAACACAAGTTTCAGTGCAAAATGTCATAAGCCAGACCAACATTTAAGTTAACTCCCATTAACTCCACAGGGACAAAACTGCAGCGTGGCACCAGCAACAAGGCTACGCTCACTGACAAATTCATGCATCTTGGGGACGGCAGCTGTTAAGGGCAGCCATACATCACGCTGTGCACCCTGCTTGCACCAATCTGCCTGCAAGTGAGGCACCACGCAGCTAGGAAGAGTAATGACAGTCCAGCTGCAGCAAGTGAGCGACAGCCTCTCCCAGCGACACAGGCAGCCTTAACTCACTGCAGAAGAGCTCTTTGGCAGATGGGAAAGACAATGCATTTATTTAGTGGGTCTTGTTTCTGCATGACCAAATTACACCCGGCTTAGGCCTTTCAAATATAAAGGCAAATGACTGACTGAAATAAAGGTCACTGTTGGAAGACAGAAGCATCTTATTTATTCCAGGGAGGGGGATGATCTTGCATCTTATTTATTCCAGGGAGGGGGATGATCTTCCAAGTTCATCAAGAACTGCCTGGAGAGGCATGCGAGACGCGCAGAGGACCTGAACTCAGGTCTTCATCGAGCCCTGTGATAATCTCCAAATTATGTGTTAGAGCTTACACAAAGAGTGACAAATCCACACTGAATCTGCCCTATGAGGAAAGGCTGAGGGAGCTGGGCCTGTTCAGCCTGGAGAAGCGAAGGCTGAGAGGGGACCTGGTCAGCATCGATAAGTACCTCAAGGGAGGCAGTGAGGAGAATGGTGCTGGCCTCTTTTCACTGGTGGCCACAGACAGAACTAGAGGAAATGGCCAGAAACTGAAACACCAAAAGTTCCACAGGAACTTAAGGAAATTTTTTTTCACAGTGAGGGTGCGAGAGCCCTGGAACAGGCTGCCCAGAGAGGTTGTGGAGTCTCTTTCTCTGCAGATCTTCAAAACCCGCTTGGACGCAGTCCTGTGCCACGTGCTCTAGGTGACCCTGCGTGTGCAGGGGGTTGGACTAGATGACCTCTAGAGGTCCCTTTCAAACTTAAGCATTCTGTGATTCTGTGATTACAGGACACTGAAGAAGCAAAAAGTCTCTTGTGCAACTGCTCTCCCAAGATTTGCCAGAAGTCACACCCAGCTGGTTGCTGCTTTTCATGGTCCAGGGAAGCACCTTTCAAGGGATGTGCAGGCAACAGCAGGCACGTTTCTGCTACCCGCACCATGATCAGGCTGCTCAGCATGTGCAAAACAAGGTTTGCTTACAAGGATGAATAACTTACAAGGAATGAGAAATTTAAGCCTGGTATTATGAACTGAGTCGCTGAGACTCATGGGTTGCTTCCCCCATATCCTTCTCCCCACATCACTGCACCTTCCAAGCCTTGTTTTGTTCCCATTGAAATCCTGCAGACAGTAAATATCCATTAGCTTAAAGGCAAAGGAGCAGAGCCTAAATCACCAACTGGAACACCTTCTTTTGTACTAATTATCCACACTTAGGCAGAAAAAAAAACACATACTCACCCAGAGACTGTAGGGAGGGGAGCTGGAGCGCCTGACTGCGTTTTCTCTTGCTGTTTCAGAAAAGATTTAGCTTCTTTTGAGGCTGCATCCACTTCCTTTGTCACTCTACAGAAAGAAAGAAGGAGAAAGGACAAAGCAGAGGGTAAGGAAGAGCAGGATACTCCAGCAAGGAAACCATAGACCACGGGCAGCAGAGTTAGTCTATGAGGCCACAACACCTGCACAAAAATTGCCCCATCAGCTACAGCCTGTGTAGCTTGCATTTTGTTAAGACTTCATTCCAATTACAACCTCCCTAAACACATAGAAGAAAAAAGCAAAAGAGTAGCTAATTAGAGCTGGAAGAGGGGACTTCTTCCCCCCCAAATGAACAGGAACACTCATTCATTCAAGCAAACTGGCTAGAAGCTACTGAATACTCCACCTAGGGCACAAGGGGTAATGCTCATCTCTTAATTGGGCTCTTGATTTCCTCATTTGCTGGTCGGCGAGGCAGCAGCTGAGCTGCCACCCATGACCCGCAGGCCACAGCGTGCGCTGCTGGCAACGTCTGCCATCAGCACCGGAGGAAGGAACACGGCCGGGGCTGGGAACGAAAGAGAAAGCTCCGGCACTGCCGAACGCAGGAATCTGCTCTCATTCTCCAGCTGCTTTTTGTTTGAGGCCCACAGGGCATAAAATACTGAACTGCAAAAAATAATAAATCAATAGCGCATCTACAGGAGGGAGTGAATTACAAACAGATGAATGAGGATCTCCAAAAAAACACTCCATTAATAGTTAGAAAATCCCAACTACTTTAGCCCCTCCGTTATACCAACTCCACCAGCTCTAGGGGCTTCCAGAAGCCCTTAGAGCAGCCTGGTTACCAAGCGCACGGCTTTGCTCCCCTGAGAACGAGTCTGTTGGTATCTCCCGAGCCCTGCTCAGGGCACACGGCCCATGCAGCGCAGCCTCCCTCCCCACGCGCTGAGAGCGCGGCGACCGTCCCCACACACTGCCAGAGAGGGTGGGTGGGCTCCTTCCCGCCCTGCTGCTCATGCTGAGGAGCCAGGAAGGCTTCCAGTAGCGGGGAAGGTGCGAACTGACCCGCCGGGCCTGGCAAGGCCTCGAGGCTGCAAGTCTCGCACACACAGAAGCCACCCGTGTCCTCGGTCAGCAGGGGAGCAGGGCACAGCCGCAGAGGGCACCAGCAAGGAGTGCTCGGGAAGGGGAACGGCTCTTCTGCTGCCTCTCCAAAGGTGGGAAAGGCACAAGAACAGGAGCCAGTGCTTGTGCCGAGCTCCTGCCTCGGTCCAAGGGACGAGAGATTAACCCCATTCCCCCCACCAGTTGTCACCTGCCTTTCAAAGCAGGGGCAGTCACGTGGACAGAGACAAATCCCATGCAACGAAATATTTAGAAGCAGTTGCTGATCAGATTGGAAAGGAGGAGAAAGGAACAGGAAGAGCAATTCATGAGAAAAAGCACATAAAAACAAAGCCTTGCTCCAGGATCATCACAATTTAAAGACATCCTAAACAGCACCTAGCCACAAGCCCTCAAAAACAGTCACGTCATGCCGTAACCATACGCCAACGGTTACTTTACTTCCATGGATTTCCTTAGACAGAATAAACTCAAGTGTCCTTAGGCAGCAGTGAGCCAGAACTTCTGCCAAGCCCCATGAGCAGCAGGTTGTGGGCTGCTTTTAATGGCAGCAGCAGAGCTCAAGCCCGCTCACAGCCGCAGCGCCCTGCGTGAGGCGAGCTGCATCCACAGATCCCACAGGCAGCACGAATTTGGCCCTTGAAGGGCTTGAGGGATTGGGACCCACCTGAGCTGGGCAAGTCCCCAAAGCCCATGGCAGAGGCAGGATCCTCTAGGTGCCCTAGCCCGGCCTGACCAACCATGACCGCCTCCAGGCTCCTCCAACCCGACACAGACCTGACTGAGGTGCTTCCCAAAGGAAGAGGGAGAGGAAAGTGTGCAGTTCAGATGCACACGAAAAACAGCTCAAGACTTGGCCAGCCATCAGCATGGCATAGTTGGGGCAGCACAACAAGGGTCACAGCTCCAACGCGTTCAGAACTGCACAGAGAGCGGACACCGTGTTCAGGAGCCCCCTTGACATCCCGCTCCAGCACAGCCCCTCAGGAAAAGGGGGTTCAGCCCAAGGAAGCTGCTGCCCAGAGGCGCAGAACAGGTCAGGGCCAAGGCTCAGGCTTCAAGGCTTGTTTGCCACTACCTCAGGTACCAGCAGCAATGACAGGGACAGACCCAAACACTCGGTTCACAATTTGCTTTTCCCTTTGGCCTGTCGGCAGCTACTCAAAATATCTTTTTGAAAGTGCTCACTGCAGTGGGCTCAAGCTGCAAAGCTGTGTGCAACCTGTTCCACCAGGACAGCACAGCTGGGGACAGGAATGTGCCAAAAACCTAATTGAAAGTGACCTTTCAGGGCAGCTCCATCACAAGACCCACTGATTGCCTCAAACTGAAACAAAAGCAACTCAGGCTGCTGCTGGGCTGATGCCAGCAGCCATTCCTGCATCCCTCCAACAGGAATGACAAAAGAAGGAATATTAAAAGGCTTTACAAGGTATTAACTCAGGTTTTGCATGTTTCATCCTTCCTCGGATCGCAGGCCAAGAAGGGGGAAAAATGCTCTTGTCTGTGTTATTATAGGAGATGATAACTCTCCATGTAGAAGCCTAAATACCCCTTGCTCTTCATGGGTAGAAGTGGGAGCCATTAATCCAGCTGGAAGAAATCACAGTCATTACTAAGGAAAATTACAAGACCTTTCACTTTTAAATACTTGATAAGCAACCATGTGCCTGACTGTTTACTGGGATGCTATTCACACACTCTAATCCAGGAATAAACACAAAAATAAATATATTGTCAGCACTAAAACAAGCAGTTAGTGTCTCGCCCACTTGCAGACCCTGTAATTCACACACAAAACCACTGTCTCTCAACCCCCCATAAAGATTTCATTATATTCCTAGGCTATTAAATTAGCTCACAAAATACAGAATCATTTTATTAATATTTTGGACAGTGTTGGTGTCTGGTAGCACAGATGACACCACGGCACGAGGTACCGCGCAGCTGTGAAATAGGAAGGTTCTTCTGTATTTTGAAGCAATTAGAATCAAAACACGCTGTCAACTAGGTCACTAAATGTCTCTTACACATACGCGTGTCATTCACGTCCATTTACCAACCAGTATTAATGCAAAAGGCCCTACTTCGAAAACTGGGCACTGAATCTAAGACAACCCACATGCCATCACAGAAGCCATTTTCCAGTGCTGAGTTTTAGTGGTGGACCTAATTTGAGAGGAAAAGGCTCATTTTCAGTTGCTGTCTGTTCCCAACACTCCACTTGGCCATGTAAGCTGCTAAAAGGAAGAAGGAATACAGTCTAAAGCAAGCACTGCATCCCCAGAGCCCCAGGTGTCCTGCCAGGGGATTTAACAACAAATTGTTGTCCTTCTTTTCAGTAAGAACAAGCTCAATGCACCAGTTTTTCTCCCGTTTTCTGGTCTGCACCAGGCGCAAGAGGAGGGATGAACCATCACATCTGCTGAAGCCAGAGAGGTGGCCGGGCACAGGGGGCACCAAGGGTCCCGCACAGCCGGGATGTGCCCAGCTCAGGCGAGAGGAGCAAGGGGCTCTGCACGTCCTCACCACAACCCCTGCATGTCCCAACGGCTTGTGCAGGGATGGAGAAGGACGTGCAGCCCTGCAGGCAGAGCAGAAACAGCTGGGGAAGACCCCAAACCTGCTCCATCAAGGAGCTCATGGGGCTTGCTCCTGTCCTTGGCCTGTTGTACCAGAGCCACCTTATGCCTCCCAAGCGCCCAAATGCTTCTAACCTACCCCTGGGTAGCTCTCAAGCACATCCTTTAACCAAGAGGCCTGGTGCCATCAGTTTGAGAAAGCTTATGTTGGTATTTGGGCAGGCTCTTAGAGCCAAGGCAGCAATTAAGGTCCCTAACTGCAGCACCACAAAGTTACTCTCTCTCCTGACCTCCACACTGAGAAAGAGCAAGAGAGGAAGAGCTAGAAAATGCCAGCACTCCTCCCCACTCACGCTCAGGACCATCAGTCCTCACTCGGGAATCCTGCCCCACTTTAAGCCTGACACAATTATAAAAATTTCCACCTGATCTCTAATGTTGTTAGCTCTGGGGAATCCCAGAGGGGAAAAAAAAAAACAGTGAGGCTAATTATCCCTTTTCAATATTCCCATCTGTGTGTAGCCTCATTAAACGGTCCTCCGGCCTTCGGGAAGGATCACTTGAGGAGCAAACACTGCTCAGCAACAGGGTTCATTTAAAAGACACCGAAGCCCTCTGTGGCCAGAGGAATATTCTCTCCAGACCCACTTTGAGATGCTTTTTGGGGGGATCTCTGTGCTCCAGGTGACGTGGTTTGGATGCCTTCGGGATACTGAAGCCACAGAAGCACCTTGCAGAGGAGAACCCAGTGCTTGCACCGCTGGTCTGTGCACAGGACATGCATTTCTTTCATGCTGGCCCACCTGGTGTAAAATAAGCAGCAGTTTTCCCCATGAGAGCAAGACAACAGCAAGGGCAACACAGCCTCCTCTGAGGAAGGATGGGAGGACCCCTCTGCACCCTTGTTATTCCCAATTGCCATGGCAGGACACGCAGTGCTGCGTTGGTCAGAGCTAGGCTGCAGCCCTGCAGCCAACCCCGCAGCAAGACGACCCCAGAGACAAGATCAACAGGCCCTGTTGTTTGCTCTTAGTTCCCAACTTCAAGTTAGGACGTTAGTTCCCTGCCTTTCAGGAAATAAACAAACAAGCAAAAATCCTCAAGAAAACAACCAAAGTTTTCTACAACCTGCTCTTCAAACCAGGCAGGAAAAGCCATTCCCTGGGAAACTGAGCCCATCCCTGAAGCAGCACAGGCCGGAGGCAGCTGGAAGAGCTGGTAGTTCTGTGAGCTGCCTGTCTTCAAGGAGCATTCCCTTTACGGAGCTACCATTGGGATTTGCAGCAGGCAGGAGACATCAGACAGGGCTCTCTGAAGCGACCGGTCCACACCTTGGTCATGGGTTTTCACTACCCCATTGATGAGAACCTTTCC